CTAGCAAGGAGATCGGGCTGAAACTATAGCTACAAGCTATCCAAGGATGGTACTATAGAATGTCACCTCAAGGTAGGCCTAGTGGCGTCATCTCTTGGTTAGGCCGGAAACTTATCAATCCACCCTCGTAGAACACGTAGTTTATGAGATTATAAGACTACTCAGCGTACTGTATTCAGACTTTGAAAATCGTTTATAGTGGGATGCAACAATCAAACGATTTTCAAACTTAAAATTTCCCTTAATAAACAAGGGAGCTTCTGCAAAATTCAAAAATTCGATTTCTCCGACTGAAAATTGAGAGGGTGTTTATACAACGGACATACCTGAATATCAAATTTTTACTCAAAAACTAGCACGATAATTAATCTACTTATTAAAACTAAATTAAAAAGTTAATTTAATCATTATTAAATTTAATTATTTAAAATAAAGTATCAATTTAATTTTCAAATTCAAAGTCAAAGCAACTTACAGCACTAATAAAGCATTATTTAAAACTGAGTACTGTATCGGTTTAATAGACACATCGGCTTTTTTTAATAAATTGGTTTTCACTACTTTGGCCACTTTAAAATAAATACCTACATTTTGGAAAACTATGATGAATATCGCGAGCCGGGAAAATGTTCAAGGCGGGCGCTGGTTGGCCACCCCTGCCCTAGTTGTTTAATTAGAAGTGTCGATAATCCTTTCCTCAGAGAAATTTACGAAAGAAAGCTTCCGTTAGATAGCGGTTCTATCTCCAAGTCGAATCTTTTCAGATTATCGAATTAAAATTAGATTTCACATCTCACTACCTCCCTCCTCCCTTCGTAAGATAAAGCATGCATTCAAGAAGTTTTTGTGGGTACTGAACAAACCTATCAGATAGATTTGCCCTTTTCTAATTAATAAAATTGTCGTTGTATTTTACAGATGGTTTTGCTAATTGTAAGCATATACAATGTACACATTCATTCTTCCTTGTTTGGCATTGATCGTTTACCCTTTGGGGTCCTACTCTATAATTAAAGTCACTAGTACTTACCCCTAGTACGGACTCGTCTTCTTTTTAATAGTTTAAAAATGTATGTTTTCATTCGTAAATTCAAAATATCTCAGAGAGAGATATTAACAACATAATAAGCTTTTGAAGTTAGCTTAAGCTAGTCTCTAACTGAGAATGGCACTTTGAATGCCGAAACGCGTAATAGATTTCTAAACATTCTACATGTAATTTTGAATTATAATGTTTTATGTACGTGATAACATTTACACCCTACTTGTCAGTTTTACTAAGTCACGTATAATTGTTTTTTAATCTACTAACCAAACTGATTATGTATAAATCTGAAGTAACCATATCCGACGCTTTTTGCTGTTGCAGAGCTTCCATTGCCGACCGTACAACAATTCGCGACGTTTCTCTCTTTAACTGGGTTTTCATCACTTTTAAAACTTTTTCTTGTTGACTAAAATGCAAGTGCATCATTTTATTTACTTTATGTAAACTAGTTTTGTGCTTTAGTTTCTTTAGAATCAATAACAAATTACTCAATTGGTAAGGGTAATATTATGTAATGAAATTTAAGTTCACTGTCATTATCTGAGAGTGTAATATGAGCATTAAAAAAAAACTATTAATTTTATTTTTTAATGCAAATCTTTGGAGGTATTTGAAAGCGCAGATTTAGTACACTTACTCTGTTTCTGTTTTCTCGGCAAATTTTTCTTTTGCATTAGCAATTTTGCTCTGAAAACAAAGTGGTATTAAAAAATGTAATTATATTGTTTAAAATGATTTTTTGTCACTTCTGTTAAATCATGCATTCGTTTGGTTTCTCCTAATTTGTGATAGCAAAAAGCCACTTCCCATAAGTTTGCTATTGACAAACAATGAAGGATGCAATACGACGAGGCTACCACCTGCAATCGTAATAAGATTCTTGACTTCGAATTTTCAATACCAAATATGACATTAAAGTTAAAAGAAATACTTAATATGATTTGGAATCCCCATACAGTATCTGTTTTTGTTTAATGAAGGTAATAATGAAAAGTACACACAATAGGGATGTTGGACAGTTCCACTTTTGCATAGAAAATTCACTGAAATTTATCCTGAATTTAATTTTATAAGAAAGGAAATATATTCTCAGAAACTGAGGGATTCATGATATGACATACTTGATGTATCTAACTAATGCAACGTTAAAGTTCAAACTATCTTCAAGTCGCTTTACTATGAAGTAAGCCTAAAAAGTTTAAATAAATGAATAACAATTATCTAACTAATGGAAACATACGTGATGAACAAAATTAGTCTTGTCGTTATACACTTTAAGGTGAAAATAATGAAAACTCATAAACATATTCAGATACGTACGAAATACTTATTAAAAGTCAACAGGCCAGAAAGCTTTCACTTGAATAAAAATTTAATAAAAAGCAAAATTATTGGTTTAAGTTTGATTGCTGTGAATAATAATGAGTTTATTATTTTTACTAACGAATATATCGTACTTTATGTTTGGTTCAAACTAGGTTGATAAATTCTATATATGAACCAGAAATAATTCTTAAAAACTTTCATTAACGCCGTTTAAAAATTGTTTCGCCTTACCTCAAGTTTCCTTGATAAGACGACACAATAAAACGTCAGGTATTTGTACCATTCGATCTAAATGAAATAATGGTTCTATCTAATTTACCTTATTTAATTTTAATATCCTGTTAACTGACAATAAAGCCAAAATTCTTGATCGTCGTTTATTTTGTACCAACAGTGATATATGGTCAAATGGTATTGCAGCAACTACGTCCATCACAAACGTGAGACTGCGACATCTCAAAAGGCAAATATCAACAAAATTTGTTACGGTACCTACGATATCGACCATTATTTATAATTAACCAGTTCAAGTTATTCTATTAATTATAGTACACACTCAACAGAACGTTTTAAATTTGTTCATATTAACGAATGTTGCATTTAATTTACAGTAATATTAATTATAAAAAGGTAAAATTTGTAAGCTTGGATGTAAGAGGTAATTTCTGAAACTACTCATCCGATTTTAAAAATTCTTTTACCAATATTTAAAATTGACCTTCAGGATAAACACGGGCTATATATAAATAAAAATGAAAGGGATTTTCGTATGGAAACTCTGTAAGGTGACGAAATACTGATCAATCGAACGTTTCGCTGCTTTGACAATTACAATAATGAAATACCATTTGCCAAAGAATTCAGAAATCATCAGGAAATGAGACACTTTGAATGCTTTAGTGCATTAGCATCAAAATTAATTCATGAGAACGTTTGGCTTATTTTTGAAGATTTTTTATTTGTTTACAGAACACCTTCTCTTATTTCTCCAGCTAATTTTACTGTAGACTTCTACCAAATATATCTAGGATTTATAGCAATAACGTAACAGAATCGTCGAAATATCAATTTCAAAAAAGGGCAATGGACGTTCGTTTCTATAACCGAAGGTTTAGTTTGTTCATACGTTATGCGATGTTCACACTATCGAGTGCCTACTGTATTTTGAAACAAAAAAATATATTTATCCTGGATGACTTTAGTGTAAGAAACATCCAGAAGTTTCGGNACACAAGCCTTGCTATATGAGCTCTCAAAGCATATAAAAATTATACGGCTTAAATGTGAAGTTGGGTGCAAAAGAATACAATTAAATCCTCTGTCGGGAAAAAACGAAATGACTTTCCGAACAACCCGATACATACGTTTACGTACATAAGTCTACAGAAATTAGTAATCCTTGATACATGCCGAATAGTACACAGATTTCTTAACAGTACTGACATATCCCCTTTTTCAGAAAACACACAGGTTAAATTAGAAGCGGAGTTTTTAATGATGACCGATCATATTTCAGAGCAACAACTACTGTTAGCTCTATAAAATTTAAGAACAGAAAATTGATTTTCATATCGTATTCCAATAGACGTGAGTAAGGTTCTTTGGCATTACTTCTTCACTTGCCCAAAGTTAACCAGTGAAAACTGAGAAGACCAGAAAAAAAATAATAATATAGATCGGATTTATCTGAAGTAAGGGAAGTTTTAGGTTTATTCTACCCATAATCTCGGTCCCTTACCGTGTTCGTACATTCGTAATTGTAAAAAAGGGAAGTCTCTCCTAAGACGGTGCCCATGCCAAGCGTCAATATAGGACTTTCACCATCTTCTTCCGATAACAATTGCAAACTTCCCTTAAAAACGTACACCATGGAGCCCTTTAGTTTACCTTGCTGATAAACCACTTCTCCTGCCGTATATATTTCAGTAGTCATGACAGAAGCAACCGCCTTTTTGAATGCGTAATGGGAATTTTTTAAGATGTGTGTCTAAAAGAATGTCAATTGATTGGAATATATGAAAAAAAATTAAAACACAAAACAATCACACCCTGTTAATGGCATTCCAATATTTGTCCAAAGGTATCTGTTTTTGTATCGAAGGGGGAAGACGATAAATGAGGGGGGGGATGCGAATTGCTGATCTTTGTGTCCAGAAAGTGTGGTAAAAAGTCAATATCTTATTTGCAACCCTCTTTGGACAATTACGATACACCTACAATGTTAAAATTCTAATATATAAATACCTTTTAACGCTTAATATCAAAACAAATAGAAAAATAGGGGAAGAGTGATTAATAACATTTGTATTTCATTTATTAGTGGCAGGAAAAGATAACAATGTCTTTTTACCAATAACTCCTTAATCAATTTTAGTCTGTTAAGAAAACTAGCCTGACTTCTGTAATTTTCTAAACACAAAGAAGTGCAACCTCCAATAAAAGCACCAGATAGTATTATAAATCCTATTATCATTACGACAATAGTCACCAAACGTTCAGAAGCATGTACAGGAGTTATATCACCGAACCTGAAAGTAGAACATGCTGTAACGGTGAAGAATATTCAGAATGGAACCTTGAATAAACAAAGCAAAACATGAAAAACGCTCGCCAAAATATCATTAATTAAAATTACAGAAACTGTAAAAAGTTACATACCTCAGATATTTAATGGCAAAAACAAACATTCTGGAAATTGTAACAGTTCAAAAATATGCTTAAATATAGGTAAGTTTAGGTCCGGATTGAAATTAAAAAGGTATTGCAGAGTAATAACACAGGTCTGCGAATTTTTTTTTGAAGTTTTTTTCTTAAATTGTTAATATTTGTCGTAATTGTCTTAAAAGTAATAGAAAACGATATTTATATGGTGTATACCACGTCACATTGACCCATAAATGCTCAGAGAACACATTTCCATTTGAACCCTTGCCACATAATGAATGCGACGAAAAAATATTCGATAACCAGTGTTTCTATGTTTTTAACGATGGTGTTGGTTAAAATTACCTCCGACAATATTGAAGCATGGAAAGATCGAAAATAAACAAAAAAAACGTAATTTTTGAATTGACTTTTTTCTTAAAAAGTAATTTTTTGTGTCCTTACGATTTTTTATATGCTTAAAACCTATATAAATCATGACCTCGATATCTAAACATGAAATAATCACCGTTGGTCAAGTCGAAATGCCTTTACAAACTGTTTGATCAAACCAAGTTTAATGTAAAGTGGTGGAAGCAATACTTTCTTCTTTCAAACTCGTATTGATGACATTATTCACTCCGAGTTCCAATTGCATTCTAATGTGGACAGAAATACCTAATAACAATGATTTTGATTTACCCTAAGTCCACTGTCTTAACACTTCAACACATAACCATCATATTTTATCGTAACCCAGTGTTTATCTTGGTGACACAACTTCATTCTGAAGTAAGCTTAATAAGCATTTTTTACAAAGTCTGTTATATTCAATCTTTGCTTAACTATTGTATATTGTCCGCAAATGTAAAAAAATACATTTGAATTGTTTTTACAACACCGAGAAGCCATAGTTAAAGATAAATGAAACACAATCTTTTATTACACGTTAATATTATATCTCTCTCAATAATGGCGCGCTATAAACTATTTTTTTTTCAGGCGGTGTAAACGACTATAGTTACTTTCAGACTATCTAAAATAAAGTAAAAGACAATATAATGCTCAGTCAGAGAGTATTAAATAGAAATATAAACTATAAAATGAATTTTGTGAAAAAACGCCGATTCAAAGATCTATATATACATATGTACATATATTAATCTATATACAAAACAAAAATGTGACGTGATACGTTAAAACAAAGTTTATATTTGCAAAATATAGACCAACATTTGCATGCCTAAGATAAATTTATACAAAAAACTTTTTTATCGCAGACCTGTGTAATTTATAAAATTGTTTAAAAAACTGAAACATAAAACAGCGCTCATGATTTTCCGACTCACTAAACAAAAAAGCGCTCATAATGTTTCCACTGGTTAAGTAACCATTCTGGAAAATGTAACTATTAGTCAAATAGTGCAGGGACAGCTGAGTCTGGAATTAAATTTGGAAATGCATGGATTTGTATCGATGAATATGTAACGATTTACTGTATATTGTTTCGAAATTTTGCTTTTTTGCTTGTTTTGTACACGTAAGAAAGACGCAAGGATCACTTACGCATCTCCAGACAATCCTTGGGCAATAAAATAACTGCTTAACGTGTACCAAGTGGCTGGAGTTAATTGCCTTCTTTGTTTTATGTAAAAGAAATGCTGAATATAAATTGACCAATTTTCATCACCAACACAGAATACCTTCAAATAATTAGGACCATAGAGATAAAGACAAATATATTTAGATTTCAAAATGTCCTAGGCAATAAAAGTTTGCAACACCAACACAGAATACCTTCAAATAATTAGGACCATAGAGATAAAGACAAATATATTTAGATTTCAAAATGTCCTAGGCAATAAAAGTTTGCAACACCATGGGATCATGAGTTCACTGTTAATACTTTAACTTAGTAATCTAACCTAACCTTTTTTTTTTAAGGACTGGTAGGGAAAAATGCTTTACGCACACCGATCGCACTGAGACGACCTGTATATGGGACCCCCGAAATCGGTATACCCACTAAAAACCCCCGCCTTGGTTCGGTTGTGGCATCGCCCTCTCAGGACAAACCTCGCAGTGGGCAGCCCATATCTAAAAATTTCCTCAGCGGATAATATGTTGTCCAGATTGGAATTTTGACCAAGAAACAAAAGTTTCCAAGAAGGTAGCCCCTGAGAACAGGGGGCAGATACAAAACAAAACAGCAATTTTGTAAAAGAAAATTTGTCCACAATAGATAAATTTTGAAATTTCCAGTCCTGGCGAGGGCTACCCTCATTGCAGATTCATCATCTTCCGCTCTTTTTCTATTCTCCGCTGTACAATTCTAGTTGAGATTTTTGACGCATGGGAAGTTAATTGTTCTAAATGTTTCGCACCTATCCGCGCCTCCCTTTTTAGGTATAGTTACTACGTTCCGTTTATAATCCTCTGAAACTTTCCCAGTCTCATAAATGTGACTAATTAGCTTCAACATAGATCTCTAACCTCTTGTCCTGCATGTTTTAGAATTTTCCCATGTATCCCATCTATACCTGGCGCCTTATTATTCCTTGTAATGCTACATTGAACTCTTGTCTCATTATGTCCACACTATCTTCCTTCTCCAATATATCTCCTAACTCATGGCCTGCGTATAGGTTCTCTAAATATTCTTTCCACCTATCTGCCTTTTTCTCATTTTCTATCAAAATGACCCCTTCCTCGTTTGTTATATTATTACTACTGTATCCTACATATCTAAAATTCCTTTTAATTGTATTACAAGCCTCGTCGGTTTTAACTACTTCAAACTTGTCTTCTACTTTTTTACACCTCATATCAATCTACTGTTTCTTTGCTGTTCTACACTTCCTAATGATTTCGTCTGTCCTTGTACCTAGCCTATCACTTGTTTCATTACATTTTAGCTTCTCTAAGTCGAGACTTTTTCAGAATTTTCATTTTAAGATTGGTCTTCATAACTACTACGTTACGATCGCTGTCTATATCTGCTCCTGTTTAACTCCTACAGTCCGTCACTTGATTTTTAAATTTTTGCCTAACAAGTACGTAATCTAACTGATATCTCGCTAAAGCACCTGGCATCTTCCACGTATAGCGCCTCCTAAAGTGATGATTGAATAAAGTGTTCGCGACGGTTAAGTTATGTTTGTCGCAAAATTCTATCAATCAAAATTCTATCAATCTATCTGCCCTACCATTTCTATTACCTAATCCAAAAGAACCTGCTATTGCACCGTCTTTACCTTCACATATTCTGCGTTGAAGTCTCTTACAACGATTAGGGTTTTCTGCCCTTTCACTAGACTTAACACGTCTTCTTTATCTGCATAAACCGCTTCTACGTCTTCATCATTGTAAGATGATGTAGGCATGTAAACCTGCATTAATACCGTTTTTACTGGGTTCGAGTTTAATTTAACTATAACTATCCTATCACTTTTTTGTAAATAGCTTTCTACACTCTGCCCTGCTTTCCAGTGCATTATAATTCCTACCCCCCGAATTACCTACCACCGATCCTGTATGTATTATTCTGAAGTCTTCACTCCATTTCACTAATACCTACTATATCTAATTCTACCCTATTCATCACAACTTTCAAATTTTCCAATTGAACTCAGATTATATATAATTAAAAATTATATTTTTTTATAAAAGGGAATACGTTTTTTCTATGCACAATTTCGTCAAAGGAAACAATGGCTTAATGACCGGCAAGTCAAATAATGATCGGTAAGTGTAGTTCTTATCCTGCAGAATTTGAAAATTAAAAATTAAAAATATTTGACTTCAAAGGAACATTTTAAAAATTATTACTCAATCACATGTGATAATACCTAAGGCCTTACAAACGAACAACCAATTTCAACTATTTCCATTCAAAAGTTTTTATTAAAATAGACCGGGATGTTGCATGTAAAATGTGTTATAAAAATAAATTGATACAAGATTCATGGTAACTTAGGTCCTTGTTTTTGGACAATTCATCGTTAGCTATCTGAATAAGTTCCTCATTATTGCTTGAATACTCGGTGAAAATTATTGGAAGGTAAATGAATATTATCCTTATATCAGGCTTGACCAAAGTTTTATACGATAAAAGCAACATGCGAACAACATTCTACGACACGTTGTCCTACTTTATATCAACGAGAATGAGTTAATATCATCGAAACACCCGGTACTTGTTTATTAATAAGTGTAAAAACATGATACTTCACATAATTAGACTGTCAAGAACGAATTTGCGCTTTGAACGACAAGCTGTCTTTTCCTTTTACTCAATATCATATTTTTCTGAAGTAAAGCGGTATTCAAAATCAACATTCTCCTCAACATGATCTGCGTAATAACTGTTAGTCAGTTTCAACAGATAGGTACCACATGCTTCATACGTAAATACAAAATCTTTTTCAAATCTAAAGTATTGAGAATTCTATTATTAATATGTGCGAACTGTAAGTTTGCGTTCTTTCAAAATTCTGATACAAAATTGGCGTTATCACAAGTGCTTGAGTAGTATCTAATTATTAAAATGTCGTTTCCCATAGGGCAAAATTAGCTATTTTTATACTAACTCCTTTGGTAAAACTAGTTTAAATAATCTAACAAGAAATAGCTTTTGTTTTTAGAAATTAAATAATCGTGTAAAAATTTATTTACCGCGTCAGTGCAGGCTAATGTTTTCCAGATGCAGACAAATGAATGATGAATCAATATCACAGAAAATCCGTAGATCTGTACAGCTGCATATATTTTGTTTGTGCCAGATGTTTTGGAAATGACATCTTAAAATGAAGTAATACTACTTAAAATTACTAATACACAAAACAATAAAAAACGATAGTATTTAGATATAGGCGTAGCCTTGATATGCCAAGAGGGGGAGGGGGTTAAGGTAATAAATGCTGAAAATCCACATTATCTATATGATTGTAATGAAATTCGAAGCGACTGCAGCGGTTTTCGACGTACATATACATCAACTTTTCACGAAAATGCCCTGCAATTTGTCGCTAATTCGTTACCAAATCCAAAATCCAGCTGGTTTTACTACAAAATTGACGAAATGCTACCACAAGGTATCTTTAAATAGTAATGACTTAGAAAAATACCGTTAAGTCGCTGAAAGATGGTACTTTTTTACTCGTTTTCTCGCGATTGTAGCCCCGAAGTGATCAGCGAAAAACGATTGGAGATTCGTTAAACTGGCTCTATACATAGCGTATTGCGAAACAGAAATGTCGTATTGTTAGACCCATAATTTGTAGTTAATTTATCAGTATTTTTCTGCGATATTCCTATATCAAAATTTGTTGCTGTTGTCACACCCTCGCCGGGAATCGAGATTGGGACCTTTGGCTTTACAGACCCATGCTCTGACCCGAGTTCCATTCCCGGCAAGGGTGTGACAACAACAACAAAGTTTCCCTCATTAACCTGTAATAGTTTATAGTGGGTAAAAAAAAATTGAAAATGAATTTTCACATTAATATTTCATTTTAACCACTATTAAAAATGTCAAAGTGTTTCACATATGAGTGATCTAGTTTACTTTATGTTTTTTGTTTATTAGTTGGCAGCAATTTCTTCAGATTACTAGGTACAATTAAAAGAAACGTCCTAGTCGTTGAGAGGGGGATTTGAATCCCCTAAACCCCCTTTTGGCTACGCTATCGGTTTTAATGTTACGTAAAATGCATACAAAAGTAGTGAATGATCCTATGCATGGTGTAAGTCGCAACTACAACGACTAACGCATTCAGTGTTCGATAGTTTGTACACAGTTTTTCAACGTCCCTGTAAATACTTAAGTACTGCGGTGTTAGCTGTTCTACTAATTCGCTTTCCACAGGATAGTGGCCAGGAGACTTTTCTAGATCATATAATCTGTATAGTTCCTTTGTAACTCCGACGACGTCTACCTTCGGTGGCAGATTTGATTTCAAACGATAATAGTTGAAGAACGAAACAAACAAAATTGGACATGTAACAACGTCCAAAGCCAGTAAAACTAAAATAAAAATAATTATATGTACCATTAAGTCTTTCCGCGGTGCTCGCCAGATGGCACACCCAAACAAAAGTAACAAAAAAAAAAAAAAAAAGCCTCAAAAAAAAAAAGAAACCAAAAAAATGGCCCGTGGTTTTTTTTTTTTTTTTAATCTAAGTGCTAAATCATTATTAATTATGAGGGCATGCAGAATACAAAATTTCAAGATGATATCTGAAGAAGCTCACCACTCATGTTAGCGAAACGTTAGAAAGCATCAGTTCACCTACTGGCCGAGAAAGCATTTACCAATTTGTCAATACTAATAAGAATATTCTAAGCGCTCTGCTATAATAGTTTCTACCACAGCTTCAATTTTTCATATCTCAGAATTCTCTCTTTTACCTTTCATGTTTCATCTTTCGATTGAATTCAATAGTTACTTAGCAATTTAAATGTACATATTTCAACATTTCTTTTGTGTTTAGTTTTACAATTTGACTATAATAAAATTTTCTGTCGTAGTTCATCATAAAATATGTCCTAGTGACTTCCCTTTGTCGAATTTTCTAAGAACTTACGTCTATTATTTAATTGCCTTTTTTAATATATTTCTAAACACGTTATAATATCTAGGTACTAATAGCGAAACCCCTATCGTTTCTGTTAACTGAACGTAGTTAAAGGCAGATACTATTCCTTCTTGGTTTTTAAAAAACGCTTTTGAACACAATTTTATTTACTATTGATTATTTTTTTATTTATTGGATTTACTCTTAATTTTGGAGGGTTTTAGTTGTTCAAAGGAATAGGAGTTACTCCTTACGGTAGCGATACACCATGTACCTACGTTAAGAGACCGACCTAGTCGTTTGAAAGACTTTTTGTAACTCTCGATTGTAATTACTGATTGTTTAAAGAAAAGTAGCATATCTGCTGATTAATTAAAAATAACAGATAGCGTAGGTTTGCCAGTCCTTTACATTACAGATTTTTTTCTCTTTGAAATCGACCGAAATACTTTCTGAATTTTAACTAGGATAAGAAATATTAACTAGATCAGCATCAGTATCGTTATCGCGTTATCTTTATCAATCTCAATTTCCATAATATTTTAAATTATCAAATAACAGCAATAATATAGTTAACCATTTCGATTAAGTTAAGTTGGTTTGTAGGTATATAGTGTAAAGTACGTTATTAAATGTATATACCATAAAAAATTCTATCTCAAAATAAATATCAACATAACAATATTAAGCAAAACTACCCTATAATCATAGTAAAATATTGTTAGGGAAATAAAAACAATTCAGGTGATTCGTTTAAATCAATTGGTTACCACCAAGATGATAAATATCTAACAGTAAAAAATTGTGTTGAAATCTTTCTTGTTATTCGTTCGAAAATAATTATAAATGTGTATACTAAGCAACTCAACTAAAGTGATTACGTTATTGTAGAGGGCACCTTGTTTGTCATACCTTTTGATCTAGGTTGTGCGTCTTTCAGGGCCGAATATTTCATCCAATAAGTATGAATACCTGCCGAAATTGTATCCAATATAATTAAAGCAATACATATAGAAGTTGCTACAACTCCCAAAACTTCCGACACTGTACTTCTATTCCGAGGTAAGTGTTCATAAATACCAAATAATCTCTGTTAAAATAAATTGTACTTTACATTTACACGAAACAAAGAAATGACGATGATCATTCAACAACTAGAGACGTAAGCGGATTGGTTCTCTTCACACCACATTTGATTGATAAAAATCAGTAATTAACCTACCCAACTCCTACCGAAAAAACGATACTTTCCTTAATTTCAGAGAAGAAAGTGCAATATTTCTTCCCTGATAAAAAATCGCTTTTACTCCTTTTTAGGAAAGGATATTATGGTCGTCCACACGTGGTTCCACCTTCCTCGGGTGGTAACTTCCATGCCGGAGATATTAAAATACTTTCGTAACAGTAAACCCGATTTCATATGTAAAAGGTTGTTGTATTGTACATTTTCCGGAAAAATCGTTCTTTCGGGGCAGGGATTTCAGGCAGGCTTTCAGCTTTCATGACAATATCGCACTTTCTTCCCGTAGTGTATATTATTGAAGTGAAACTTCTTTGGGCTCGATGGGAGTAAAATCTTAAGGCCAGGAAACGACACGTTTTGCAACGTTTTGTCTCGCGACGCGATAGGGTATGACAATAGGAAGGCGCGCATGCGCTCATGTATTATATAGGGTTGTTCGGAAAGTCATTTCGTTTTTTTTGTGGAAATGTAAAACAGTTTTCGTATAATAAACAAATACTTTATCAAATTATATATTGACCGTTCTGGTCCAACACCTTTTGCCATCTTTCTGGTAGTAGCATAATTCTACGCTCATAAAATTTTTGGTCTTTGCTGGCAAAAAACTGATCGAGGAGGTTTTTGACCTCCTCATTTGAGGTGAAGGTTTTACCGTCTAAAAAATTTTGGAGTGACCGGAACAAATAATAATCCGATGGTGCCAGGTCTGGAGAATATGGTGGGTGTAGCATTGTATCCCATTCAAGCTGTAAAAGCTTTTGGCGAGTGACCAAACTTGTGTGAGGTCTCGCGTTGTCTTGGTGAAACACTACACCTTTCCTGTTGATTAGTTCTGACCTTTTCTGTTGAAGTGCATCATTCAGTTTGTCCAGCTGATGACAGTAGACTTCCGAATTAATCGTTGTGTTATCCGGTAAAAGCTCAAAAAAAACGATTCCTTTAAAATCCCACCAAACAGACAGCATCACCTTTTTTTGGTGAATATCGGCTTTGGAAATGGTTTGAGCCGGTTCATCTTTTTTGCTCCATGACCTCTTGCGTTTGACGTTGTTGTATACAACCCATTTTTCGTCCCCAGTGATGATGCGCTTCAAAAACGGATCATTTTCGTGACGTTTGAGAAGCGAATCGCAGACGTCAATGCGGCGACACAGATTTCTCTCTGTGAGAACATGGGGAACCCATACATCGAGCTTCGAGGATAATCCCAGGCCTTTCAAGTGGTCATAAACTGTTGAATTTGATAAATTTAACCTCAATCCGATCTCACGTGTTGTTATTCGCCGGTTCACATCAACTAATGCCTTTATCGCGTCTTTATCAGCTTCAACCGGCCTTCCCGAACGTGGTGCATCTTCGACATCAAAATTGCCGGATCGGAATTTAGCGAACCAGTTCTGGCACTGGCGTACTGTCAACACATCTTCTCTATACACATCAGTCAATTTCTTTCTGGCTTGAACAGCATTTTTACCTTTTCTGTAGTAAAACAGTAAGATATGTCGAAAAGGCTGCTTATCACTCTCCATATTTAAAAGGGCACCAACCAAAAACTACGAGGGTGGATTGATAAGTTTCCGGCCTAACCAAGAGATGACGCCACTAGGCCTACCTTGAGGTGACATTCTATAGTACCATCCTTGGATAGCTTGTAGCTATAGTTTCAGCCCGATCTCCTTGCTAGTGTAGGTTTGACAGCACGCTGAACAAGACGCCTCTGTGGTTTTCGTAAAAATGGAAAAGCAGGAAAATCGT